CAGCGGCCCAGGAGGTGAAATGGTGCCCACTTGGGTGTGAACAGTGGGATGGAAACCTGGGTAAGTGCCAGTTTTCAGTGAATGGGCAAGTACAAAATGTCTGTTTCTTAAGGAATTAGAAGAATTAAAGAATTAAAAAAGAAGTGTACTAATTAGGCTCCCAGTCAGGCTTATGTGGAGCTTCTCTCTGGCAGACAGGACTGAATGGTTGGTGTGCCCTTGTTACATGCTTCTCTGGGTATATGCAAAACGTCCCCACCAGGTATAACAAGTGCCTTTTGTTTCTTTTAGAAGAGGAGAAGTCAGCTGGCTGGGAGGGCTCTCCCCTAGTGGTGTTTAGGAAAAACTGGCTGATCAGTGCAGCTGAATTCTTTGTCATTTCTAATCTCCCATTCAGGTCTTTGTCATGGCTAGTAGTTGCCTCCTGCACACTTGTAGCAACTGTGGAGTCACCGAAGGCTTTTCAGAAGTCTTGGAGGACTCTTGTGGTTTCCCAGCTGCCTTTTGTCTGCATTTGTAAGAGGTGATGCGATGTTTTGGTCTAGCTATTGAATGTGCAGACCCAGGCAGCTTTTTCCCTTTGTCTGGAGAAGATTGCTGCTGCATGTGTAGAGGTAGATATTTAAATGGTTCAGTAGCTTGAACTATTTATAAGTAGGTAATTTTTTATTACTACATTGATCTCAGAAGTGGAAGAAGTACTGGTACCACCTCATAAAATCTTCACAAACGCAAACCCCTTTGATTCTCACTGCTGCGTTATCCCTGTATGTTGGTGACCAGGTAGTGATGATCTGTATCTGCTGTGGGCATCTCCTGGTTCAGTAGTTGAGGGATTACCAAGAACAACACAAACTTGGTGATTTTACATCCCATGATGTAACTATTTTATAGCACAGTAGGTCACGGGAGGCTTTATCCCCGTAAGAGCTGAATCCCCCCACCAGCAGCAAGGTTAGCACCAGAGAGCTCATGGCTCTCTGTACCTCCTTTCAGCCCTGAGTGTTGCCAGAAGGCTCACAGATCTGTTCCAACAAAGACTTCTGGAGGTTTGTCTCACATTGAGGAGAATAGTGCTTTTGCCCAATTATGCTTGAAAAAAGGTCCCAAACAGAAGGGTGGACCAACAAAAGCTTTTGCCACTGCTGTGTGTTCTTGCTGAACTGTGTGAAGGATCCTCTCTGTGACAAGGCTGTCTGTCAGGTCTCTGCTGCTCTTGGTGGGATGAGAAACTTCTCACTTTTGACTGGTGAAAGTCTATGCAAGGTCCAGCTGTGTCAGCAACTAGTTGGAACTGGATTGAGATACAGACCCAGCCCTCAAGCATGGTTGTCCTAGGATGCGGTTTCTCCTGTGTGCATGTAAGACCAAAATGAGTTGGAAGAGCAGAGGAAAAGGTAGAGATGAAGCATGAGGTTATGCATGCTGGTGTCCTGAAGTTTAAGGACTAATGTACCACAAAGTGTTGAAGTCCTTGTCCCCACTCCTCTTGTGGTGAGCACTGCTCTCCCTGATGGGTTTTCAGAAGGGTGTTGCAAAAAGCATGTGCTGACTCTCACTCCTAAAACTAATGTGGTGGGATGTGTTGTGTGAGGCACCCTTCACATGGCCTCTTCCACTGCCTCCATCCCACAGCACTGCACAACTGTCAACCGGTTATGTGCCCTCCTGAGTCTCTCACGGCCCATATGAAGCAGAGAAGATGAGATAGGTGTAGCCTGGACTGGTGTGGCTCTGCTTCTGGAAGGGTGGTGACCCATCTGTACCTCTTTCCTGGCTGGTGCAAAGAAGCCGGAGAGCCCACAGTGTGAAATATCTGCTGAAGAGACAGCTGAAAGATCTGCAGTTGCTCTTGCCGCGTGGCCGGGTACCATGCTGGGGTGGTGACATTGGTCCTTCTTGGACTGGTTGATGTGCTTCACTTAAAGTCAGGAAGGCGGGAACCTGCCTTTCATTTTGATGCACAGATCTTGACTTTTGTTTTGGTAGTTGAAGTTGGTCAGTAGAGACTATTGACTTAAATGAGATTCTATTTAAAAAAAGCAAGCAAGCAAGCAAAACAAAAATCCATTTCCTCCTGCACTTGAAGGGGCACAGCTTATCTCTGTAAGCTTAGCCTGGGGGCCGGCATTTCTGTAAACCAGCTTTGAAGCCAGAATCCACAGTCCTGGGAGAGCAGGAGGAGTGAAGTGCACACGTCCCTTGCTTTACGTGCCTCTGCGTTGGATCTGCAAGTCTGCTTTTCCCCTCGTGCATCCCATGCCAAGAATGTTTGGGAACTGAGGTCAGCAATGGGGACGCCACCCTGCAGTGCCCTGTACTGCTGTGTGGTGGGAACAGGCAGCTGGAGGGACAGTGCAGGGGTTACAGCTTCTCCGGTCTCACCTGCACCAAACTAAAGTTATAATTGCAAGACAGGGGCAGTTTGTGCCGGTGTCTTGCACAGATGTTCTGAAATGAAAGAAGAAGAAAAAAGGCTAGGCTTTTTTCCTTTTTTTTTTTTAATTTTTTTTTTTTTTAATGAGTCGGCTCATTACTGAGTGACCCACACTCTTGGAGCATTGCTGAGCAGTCAGGTGGATGTTCCTCTTACCCAAGGAGCCTGACTGCGTCTCAGAGGGTAGTTGTTGTCAGAGCTGGAAGTGGTTCAGGGCTGAAGTGGTCATTCTTGATAGACTTGTTTTTTCTGTGACCTTTTGTTTTTTCTAGGTGAGGCAACTGAGTACCTCCTGAGAATGACACTCTTTAAATTGTAAGGCATCTTTTGCAAAGATGAGGATGTATGGGCTGCTTATTTCCATATTAGAAGTGATTTCAACAGCATGAAATAAAATTATCTTTCTTGGTATTTTCACCTACTAAGTTGAGGAACATGACTGTCTTCAATACTCTAAAGGGGCTAGCTAATATTTACTTTACAATTTGCCCCTTTGGTCTTTTCTATGCAACAGCCTTCCATTTATTAGGAGAGGTTCTCCCACCAGCCCTCATTAGGGAACATTTTGAAGTTAGTTACACTTAACTATGTCAGCTGGTGCAGATGGAGCATAAGGTTATTAAATCTTACTTTGAAAATGGTCCAAGGTGACTGTCCTGGTTTCAGCTGGGATAGAGTTCATTTTCTTCCTACTAGCTGGTACAGTTCTGTGTTTTGTATTTTGTATGAGAATGTTGATAACACACCGATGTTTCAGTTGTTGCTGAGCAGTGCTTATCCAAAGTTAAGAATTTTTCAGTTTCCCATGCTCTGCCAGTGAGCAGGTGCACAAGAAGCTGGGAGGGATCATGGCCAGGAGAGCTGACCCGAACTAGCCAAAGGGCTATTCCATACCGTAGGATGTCGTGCCTCCGTGTATAAACTGGGGGGAGTTGGCCAGGAGGGGGCAATTGCTGCTGGGGGGACTGGCTAGACACTGGTCAGCAGGTGGTGAGCAACTGCATCACTTGTCTTTCTTGGATTTTATTTCTCTCGTTATCTCCCTTTTCATTACAAATATTATTACTGTTATTATTACAATTTATTTTATTTCAGTTATTAAACTGTTCATATCTCAACTCATGAGGTTTGGGTTTCTTTTTCACAGTTCTCCTCCCCATCGCACTGGGGGTGAGGGAAAAGGCAAAGTGAGCGAGCAGCTGCGTGGTGTTTAGTTGATGGATGGGGTTAAACCATGACAGTGACATGATGCTTAAAATGTCAGATTATGAGACATTTGCTTAAAATTTTGCTTTTTGTCCTCCAAACAAAAAGTGTTAGAAGAACAGGGTTCAGTGTAAGGCATCTTAGCAGTGTTTTAAATAATAGCATCCCTGCTTGTGATCCTCATTTGGAATAATTTTGCGAAGACAAGATAGCATAGTCATGACCTGCATTTTGTGAGGGAACTTGAGCTGTAAAAACACAGCCTCTTGATCTCTTGGGTGTTGGTACAGATTGGTTGGCAGACCCACACTGAGTGTGGGTGAGGAGTCCTGGATGGATGCAAAGGAGAAGAATTTGTGTGATGATACCTTCAATGGAATATCTAAGTTTAGATTTTAAAAAGTGCGCTTTCTTTTGGAATTATTACAAGAGTTAGTAGTTCTTGGAAGCATTTTTATGTTGCACTTTATGCATTATCAAACTACTCACCTTTGGGTGGAGGGTGGGTTGGAGTTCCCACCGAGGAAATCCTTATGTGCTTGTCTTTCTCTATCAAACATCTTTTGGTTGGAGTTCGCAGGAAGGGATTGACTTTTAGGATGAAACATGGTAGGGTGGGACATGATAAATGGCTATTGCCTCCACCTTGTTTTCCTAAAATACTCTTAATACAAACAATGGTTTGTATTACGGAGGATATTTCAGTCTGATGCAAGTTTACCAACTCTTGGGGGTTAATGAGAAAACTGTAATGGTCTCCTGATTTGCACTGTTAATTGGGTGTCCATGTGTCTTCACCTGGTCACAGGCTGGTGGAGCATCTGTGAAGTGCCTTCCCCTCATTAATCATGTCCCAGCCATAAATGCTTTTTCTGATCTAGGAGCAAAAGTCCTAGCTCTAGAGATTGCCTGGGATGTGGCTATTGGGCAAGCTTGTGAAGCCCTCGGAAGCAGTTAGGTTACTTCAAAAACTTGGTGTTGCTGAGTGAGGAGGAAAAGGAGCCTTTACATTTTTTTGGGGAGGGGGAAATTTGTTTTTAGGGTTTTGTTTCTCTATTACAAAGATCTAAATATGATAGGCACATGTTAGAAAAGACTGTTACTGATGTCCCTCCATGACTCCATAAAGTAAACAAGTTCATGTTTCCTCACAGATACAAAACACAAGTCCTGTTGACCTGAAACCTGCCGATTTTGCCACTCTCACTGCTATGCCAGGTTCAGTCTCTAATTCTTTTAAAATTGTATGCCTAAGAACAGAGAGGTTATAGCCAAGGAGAGGTTTTGGAGATGGCTTGAACTGATTCACCAGCTGGATGTTATTGCGGGGGACAGTCTGGGCTTGATCCTTCCACAGATGCTGGTGCTGAGCCTGCTTTGTCTCACTAAATCAAGAGAAGACCATTCCCCATGGTAGCTGGGATCCACACTAGAGTGAACTGCTGCCTTTCATCAGATACACCTGCAACTGTAGGCTTAAAATGAGCTGGGGAATTTATAGAAAAATAGAAAAGTTGTTTTTTTTTTTCTTCTTCTGTTTGGTACTATTGACTTTGATAATCAGTCTTTGCACCTGGAAATGCTCTTCTGTGTGAGGATGTAATGAAACCATTGTGAGATGTTCACCTTGTGTTTAGGAGGGGATTTCAGTGTTGGTGAGCTGAACACATGCTGCCGGTAGTGCCTGGTGGGTGGAGCAGTGGAGGTGAATGCCCCCTGCTTCATTCTTGTCCATAATAAAGTCACTGCTGGAGCTTACTACAGTGGATCATGAGGTTTAACAGGTCCCTTACTACACTTAACTCACATGGCTGGGTTGTAATGAACATGCTTAAGTGGAAAAACAGCCCTTTCCTTAAACAAAAAACACTGGCACAGAAAACACCCTTTGTTTTCTAAATGAGCCATTGCACTTGGGACTCTTTTAATGGTCAAAATTTTACAGGTGGAACTCCTTATTCTTCTCTCTTTCCCCCTCATATTTCTTAACTAATTAGCAACAAGTCTCTTAAACTTTTTTTCATGTGGCTATTAATCATTCAGGGGTTCTCTATAGCAGGGCACACTCTGCTTGCTGCTGTTTTCCTTCAGCTCATGTTGACTTGTTCTTGCTGCCCTTGGAGAGCAGCCGTGGGCTCAGAGTGCTGCCGTCCGTGTTGAGGCTTATGCCTTATTTGCTTGGAGCTGGACACATGCTCAGCATGCCGTGTTGGTTCGCGTGGGTGATGGAACCTTTGTTGTGTACGAGTAACAAGAGTTACTCCTCATAAAGGGATGGGGAGAATGAATGTGTTTCAAGTGCTGGCTCATTACTTGCAAAATCTGGATGTTCTTCAAGGCTTTGCTGCCAACCTACTGCCTGACTGCATGACTTTCAGTAAGTTATTTAGGGCAAGACCTAAACTGTTGGTGTTAGGCAATACTCGTAGGCAGTCTGCAAGTAAGACCCTCCGATTTGAGGGGGAAGCAAAAGGCTGCTGAGAGCCTGAAGTGCAGTGAGCTGGAGCTGGAGGTAGGGTCTTCCTAGCAGGCAGAGTGATTAGCCTTAACAGCCTGGTGCATTTTGAGGATAGAGCCCCGGGAACTGGAAAGTTGACTTTTCAGGCATCTCTCCTACGCACAAGAGATTTAACTGTGAAGCACTGAGATAGTATCTTCTCCTTACATCCAAGGGTGGAAGGTGCTGAGGTTCCTTCATATCATGAAGGAAGATGTTTAAAATGAATATTAATTATCTGTTATTGGTTTCTCAGTTGTCTCAACCCTTATAACCTGAGTAGAAAAGCCCATATGTAAAAAACATGACATGTGCAAGATGCTGGCCATTGAGCTCTTCCATAGCCCTTGGGTCCTGCTGCCATCCAGCTGGGCTTGAAGGCAGGTGATGTGAGTGGTGTGGTGTATGTGAGGTGGGGGACAAAATACAAGGAGGAAAACAAGAAAATTATGTTTTTGCTTATTGGACAGTGAGGACCATTGAGCTCATCTCCCAGGAGAAGTGAACAAAGTACATATTGACACATCCGTGGTGGAGTCAGGACAAAAAGCCCTGCTGCTGCTCCAGGCACAGCATGATGAAGGGCTGGGTCTATGGGCAAGTCTCATTTCTCTGGTGACAGAGATTTATCTCTGTTTGCATGCTCATATTTTACAGGTAATTGGTTTATAGAGAAAACCATTAGCTCAAGGATTTTAGGCAGGTGTTCCTGCAGTAGTGAAATAGGCTTTACAGGCATTTTGAGTGTCATCAAAGTGGCTGAGGTTCACTGTATAATTGGTGGGATGGGAGTTATTTTCGGGGTTTGAGTCTTTCCAAAATGTTTTCATCAGCTCAGGGCGTTGGGTCAGACCTTCTCTAGCTTTGGATCATTTAATGGAGGGGAGGTTAGGGAATAGATCATTTCCTAACTCTTCCCATCACTGGAAAAAAAACTGGAAGCAAGGGCAAGGCAATTCAGATTTCTTTTTCCATGAATTAACAGACTTCAACTGCATCTGCAGACGTGTCTGCAGACTTCCAGTTGCCTTGTGCTGACTTGCATGCTGGATTTTGTTGTTAACAACCCAAACACATTTCAAAGACACTAGACATATAGGTTATGGTGTTGTCTGGTCCTGTTGGTGGCATCACGACCCAGGTTAGCTTGGGTTGCAGTAAGGCTGCATCTTTACTGCAGAAAAGGCAATTTTTATTGTTTTCCCTAGGGAGGAAGAAGTTTTGATTCAAAGCAGGTTTTGTACTTGAGGTGATTTAAATATGATCAAAGTCAGTGGAATTTTATTTAAGATAAACACGTGGTTCTCCTAATCAACCCTTTAAAGAGCGCATCTGGGGAAGTATAATGGGGTTTTGTACATTTGATTATTCACTTGTCATCAGATAAAAAAAAATATCGTTTCTGCTGTTTGAGGATAGATAGGACTTTATTGACACAATGAGTGGATCAAATTATTATCACACCTTTTATTTAATCCTGTGCTATTTGATCTATTTGCTTGAACTTTCATTACTCCTTTGCTTGGTTACATTACACAACGATATCACCTTTCTGTCCTGCTGCAGCTAAAACAAAGCAGAAGAAAAAACCCACCAACCAACTTTTGGCTCTCAGCTGCTGTTTTTATTACAGATAAAAAAGAAAGCAGTGTTGGGCAAAGAGCTATTTGAGTTTCCTTGTATTGCTTGCTAGGCAAAATATCCGGGCCTGCCAATGACTGTGTTTGTGTGACAGTTTTCATACCTTAAATAACAAACAAAAATCCCAGCAACTCTATTCCCAGCACAGTTAGTAAAATCAGATTAAAAAAGAAGAATCACAAACAAACCCCCCAAAACCCCAGACTATGATGGGTTTATATATATATATATCAAATATATATCAAAATCTTTTTGACTAATTCCCTGGGTATTTTGAGCCATTTTGCTGGGATGTGTTTATTTTCTTTGAACATAGAGGTGGGAAGCATGACTCTGCCTGGTAGGAGGTCAGAGAGGCTTGTACACAAGAGTTGCATGTTTCTGAGATGTCGAGGGTAGGATCCCACTGATGGTCCAGAGCTTGGCATGGACTCCTGATGGTGTGATGCTTCTGATGGTGGGTGGACCGTTTCCTCTGAAATCAGGAAGGCAGATGGTCCTGCTGACCTGCTGCCTTATAATGCCTTCCATCCTTTTCTTCCCTGGTGGAGAAAACACCTCACTAGGTTTAGAAGGGGTAGAAAAAAAAAAAGGAATGGAGAGGAAAACTGTCTCATTTCCTCTGACACACACGCAAAAAAAAAAAAATATCTGTTAGGTGAGAACTTTTTTTTCAATTGCTGGCTTGTTCTCCTCCTCTGCTTACATCACCTGCTATCAATGAGGCATCTGGAGGTGGTGGCCCCATGGTATGCTTATGCTCAGTGTAACATTCATTTAAATGAACCATGCAATTTGAAGAAAAAAAGAAAGCAAAAAGGAAAAAACCCTAAAATCCTCCTCCTGTGCAAAAATAAAAGATACAGGTTTGCACAGGAATAAGCCTTGTCCAACATGGTAAGAGTTGTCATGTAACAGCCTGTCCCTTTCCTCTCTCTGAAGGTCCCAGCCCCATGCTTCCCACCAGTCTGGAGTAGTATTTGGAGGAGCCTGGCAGTGTGGTCCTTCTGGTAGCTCCCAAGGATTTTTATGATGTATGGACCTCCAAAACCCTCTGGAGAACATCGGCTGCGGATAAAAGCATCTGGAAGTTCCTACTGTGTTTTTAACCTTTTTTTTTCCTGGGTCACCTCGTGTCATTTGGGAAGGAAACCTCTCTGTTCTGAGGATTATAGCAAACAGGTCACTTACTGGAATACTTCCCCTTGCATTTTCTCAAGATGGAGCCATTACTTTACCCCGCAGAAGGATATTTTTAATTCTCCCAGAGCTTTTCAAGTACAGCAGTTCTCATGTCCAGCAGGTATGTACATGGTTTTCTCATTCAATAGCCACTTTGCTTTCCTCATCTTTAGGAGTTCAATCATATTGTTTCCTTACTAGCTTCTGCTAAAGGCAAGACCTTCCAAAGTCCTTGGTGCCGTGCTCTGAAGGTGGCTTTTCCTTGTTAGGACCCAGTTGGAGATAAGTTTGTGTGGAGTGGTGGGATCAGCTTCTCCTGAAGGTTTTGATGCACAGCCTGATCTTCGTATCTGAGAAAGGGGATAGAGGTGCTCATATCTGCTCTCCTTATTCCTGCTCCTGGATTGCCCTGGACTCTCAGGCAGCTTTCCCCTGTGTTTGTAACCCACAGCCGGCACTAGCCACCTGTTGATCAGCTTATAGGGCTTTGTTGTCTGGTTTCAGAGGAAATGACATGAGTGTTTAATCCATTTTTCATCATCTTAATTTAACAGTATTTCTGCTGAAGAGCGTCATTTTGAGGTTGATTCATCCCATTAAAAAGGAGATGGCTTTAAATTTTAAAATTAAAACTATTTCTATTCAGTATAGACATGGATGACTCAATAGCTGTAGTGATAACAACCAAATTTGCATTTTTATATTCATTTACAGTGAGTTAGATGCTTTTGTGAAGGTGACAAGATTTTTTTCCGTTTTCTCTAATGGAACCAGATCATTGTGTTGGTCTCTGTGGGTATCAGTTTGCTGTGAAAGTCATCCTTTTTGGCAGTTGTGCTGATTTGGGTTGAATCTCCTTATGTGTGTTGGCAAATAGATCACTCCTCCTTCAGGGTGGAGAAAAAGTTAACTCTTCTAATCTAGCTTAACTTTATTTATTTTTACTATACAAAAAGCAAGTGCGGAAGGCAAAGCCCTAAAAATGCTTTGATATACATTTATGCTGCAATCATATCAGCATTTGTAAGACACTAAAAATTTCATCTTCCTGCTTTGTAAGCATGATTTCGCATCAGATTAAAGGAAGGAAATGGGGGGTAGAGGGTGTGCAGGGGGGAAACAAAATCGGTCGCCTCACCCTTGAATTTTGCTGCGACTCGTAGGCCAAATGGAGATGGTAGACGAAGATTGAGGATAAAAACATTCTTTACTTTAACTAGCAGGTAAGTCAAGCACTTGCTGTGTCTGTAAGAGAGGCTAGAGTTAACCACAGGGATTTGCACATGGTAGGTGAAAAGCAGCATGGTGCCAAGTTGGTGAGGATGGTCGGTGGTCAGCCCCTGTGCAACATGGTCATCTGACAAGACAAGACCTCCAGGGAGACTGCCTGGAGGCTCAGCCCAGCAGTGTCTGCAAGACACACACACACACCCCCCTCAGGGAGGATGGAGCCCCCTGGCATCGCTTGCATGGGCTTTGTGCTCTGCTGCAGAGGCATCCCCTGGGACCGGGACTTCCCCCTGCTGAACTGTGTTCCTGCTTTGCTCACTCAGCATGTTACAGTCTGGCTCAACTGACATAGAAGATGCACAGAAAAATTGGTTTTCTTCTGTACATATGAAGGCTTTCTCTTGATAGCCAAGAGAGAAGGGCAGTTACAAAATCTATATTCTGCAGCTGACTCCTCCAGTGACTCCATCTGTACCTCTGTTGAAATCACCAAATAATTTTATTTGGTTGGGTCCACATGTGGAAGATGATAACATTACATACAGTGGTGATTTTCTCTTTTCCCCTAGCTTTTTGACCTTCACCATACAGAAACAATTTACTAAACACATATAAACGCTGCTGACGTTCACCTGGGCTCACCAAGCCATACTCCACTCTTGTTTAGATCTGCTGTAAAATGCTGGTTTGCAACTCCGGTTTGGTACATCTCTGCATCTCAGGTGTCAGAGCTGGGATCACCCACTGAGATGCCCCTGGCTTGGGCATGCCAGGATCCCACAGACCTCCCAGTCCTACTGGATGTGGAGGGTCTCCATGCTGGTGGAGCCAGAGGGAAGGCATGGCTGGTCAGTGCAGGATCTGGCCCTGGGAGAGCAGACTGGTGGATATGACTGTAGAGCAGCTCCCGTGAGGGCTTTGCTCAGAGCTTCCTCCTGGTCCTGTGCACCAAATTAAAAACTAAAATTCCAGATTTGGCTGTGTCTTTGACCTGGGTCTCAGCCCTTCATTCTGAGATAAGAGTTTTCCTTCCTTAACCTGAATTAACGTTCATGGGTGGGCAAGCCCCACTGTGTGGGTTCATCAGAAAAGTTGTTCAGCCCATTTTTCTCACTCAGGAATGCAGAACACAGCTTTCCCAGCACTGAAATTCCTGGTGTTTTATTAACTAGTTCCTAACATCTTCTAAGGCACTTGTGAAAGAAGGATCACTGGCAGCGCAAGCTTTTATCTACAATTAAAGCAAACAACCATTGATATCTAAAGTATTTTTTTTTTTTCAGCCAGCTGTTTGATAAAGACGTTGCAAACCGGATCTCCCACTTGTTCCTGTAAGATGTGAAAAGGTTCTTTGTCAGCAGTGCGTTGCAGTGGAATGAGCTTTATCTTTTGTATGTAACTAGGAGCTTGGGTTTTCCTTGTTGCAGGCAAAGAAAAACCTAATTAGAGCCCTGAACACTTCAAGAAGACTTGAAGCATATGTGCAAAATGCGTTGTTGGTATCCTCCTAGCCCTTGTTGCTTAAGCTTTTAGGAAGAGCATCTCTGTTATTTGATGTGAGGGAGTTCCTGGGTTTCCTCTTGTTCAGCGAGCCAGAAGAGGTGTAATCACCACTTGTACAAAGATCTCTTCATGGATCTTGAGTACGACAAGAGGCGTTGGCTACAGGTCTGGAGTACAAGCAGTGGTTACACTCATCCCAGAAAATGGAGTATCAGTTGCTCTGTTCCAGTGGTGCAGTCACTTTGGTGCTTCTGGATATGCCTGTTTGGAGACCAAACAAACCCTGCCCACTACCTGGGTAACGTAGAGCGGCCCCAGTGGTGCTTGGGTCTGTGATGACACCGAGCAAGGAGAAAAGCTGTGGTAGAAATACTTCAGATCTTGGGTTCTTCATTACCCCTTGCAGAGGGGTCACACAAGGCCTTGCAGGCACCTGAGAGCCTGCTGGTACCTGCGGGTGGCCCGAGAATTAGAGCTTAGTGAAGAACGATGTTTCGGTTGCAAATTTACATCTGTCTTTTATGGGGAAGCAGAATCATCTTGGGTTTTGTTCAGAGCCAGTCTCATCCTGCACAGACGTGGGGCAGCTTCAAAGGGATTGTAATTTTAAGGGCTTTCCCCTCAGTCAGTGTGAGCATCCGGGCTGGGGGGCTACCAGGTGCATCCTTGGGTGCTAGTTAAAAGATGAACACCATCAGCATTTAAAATGCTTGCTGGTAAAATAGCAAAGCCTTTCAGTCAGGGTGCAGAGTGTTGGGTCAGAATGTCCTTTAGGTGGTAGGTCTATGGACAGATGCATGTTATTAATTAAAAAAAAATACAGAAAGCTTCCATTTGGCTGCTTGTGAGGGTAATGTATTTGGGTGTGTGTTTCAAAAGCACATAACTGATTATAAAATTCATGGATGGGCTAAATCAGTATTAACAATGGTTGGATGACAGTGAAAAGCAGCCCTGGCACATTGCAGGGATGTTCTTGTCATGACTAACCACTCTCACTCTCACCCGAGAGGAATTTTTTAGTGCCCAGCACAGACAAGCACTGAAATTGCAGGTTTGCAGAAGTTTTCAAATGTCTCCCCAGCTGGCAGCAAATAAAGGAATTGCAAGTATTTATTGGTTTAAGGAAAAAAAACCCCAAACCCTCAAAGCTATAAAATAAATTTGACAATGAAGGGTATTTTTTTAGGGAGTCTTTCTTTCTTTATGGTTTTGTGAGTCGAATGTATTGAAACCTGGCAAAGGAAGAGGATTTAATCTACAGATGCCATCTTTTGCTTGATGGTTTCCTGCTTCTAAAATTACTCCCAGTTCTCTGGAATTGGGGCTGAAACTAGTTTCAGCTTTCAGTTTGTGGGCAACCTACCTTACCCACTTCAGCAGACTGGATTTGCAAGGGTTGAGGGCAGCAAATGCAAGTAAGTGCTTTTAAAGATTCTTATCTTGGCTGCCAAAAGTCTCTTTGCCACTTTAAAAATATCTACGACTGATTATTTGGATTCTCTTCTGCTTGGGGAAAATGCTGAAGCCACTGATGCTGAAATTTAGTTCCATCTTTCTTTCCCTTTATTGCACCTGGGGAAGTTTGGAGGACAGCATGCCCAGGCGAGGAATGCTGATGGACGTGTGCTTATCCTGCTGCTGTTGACCCCGGGACCATGGTTTGGAGGACACTGGCTTTTGCTTGCTGGGCAGTGGCAAGAGACAACCCGAGCAAAACAAATCAATTGTGGATCTCAGTCCTTAGGTTATGCTTAAGCCTTCAACCCCTTCTGCAGCATGTATTTTTTCTCCTTAGGCTCTGTCTCTCTCTTGGAGCATTTGTTGACAGCATCTTGGCATGTGCCATTTGTACCCAGACTTTGTGGCCTCATTGCAGGGCATCTAATTGGGGATACCCAAGGCCATATTTCTATTTATTTCTATAAGTAAATAAATATTCATATATTCTTAAAGGTCTGGAATAATCCTGCTAGTATGTGTTGAGTGATCCTCTGTCACTTCATGGTTTTGCTTGGTGATTTATACTGACTAAAGAATCATAGTCATTACTTTCACAATAAAGATCTTTCTTAATGTGTGATCTCTACTTTTTCCATGAGTGCCTGCAGCTGCAGGTGCTGACTAACTATGCACGTAAATACTTAACTATCTGCTGACTTATGGTGCTGCTTCAGGTTGCAAAGAAGCAGGGAACTATCACAAGACGTATCATTACTAAAGCCAGCAAAGCAAGAGTATCTGCTTGGCTCCTGAATCCTTTGCATTGCTTTGAGGGGATTGCAGAGCTGAAGGTGTCGACAGGCTGTTTTCTTGGGCCCCCCATCTGCTGAGCAGCATTATGTGGATTAATATTGAGGAACTCGTAGTGAAATTTATCTCATGCCA